AAATGTTCTTTCTCACCACTTCAGTATTACTGGAAGTCCTAGCAAGTATGAGTACAGTAATACAAGAAAATAAATAAGATGCATGCAGTCTGCAAAGAAAGAAAGAAAACTTTCTTTGTAGATGACATTATTGTTTATATAGAAATTACTAATGAATTTATTAAAAGGCTCCTAGAACTAACAAATGATTTTAGTAGGATACAAGGTTAACTTAAAAAAACATCACTTGTATTTCTGTACACTAACAATGAACAATTGGAAACCTAATATTTTTTAAAGTTATATTTATAATAACTCCAAAGGAAATAAAAAAAAGAACTACTTAGGTGTCAGTCTAACAAAATATAACAATGAACAATTGGAAACCTAATATTTTTTAAAGTTATATTTATAATAACTCCAAAGGAAAAAAAAAAAAAGAACTACTTAGGTGTCAGTCTAACAAAATATATGCATGATCTGTATGCTGAGTTCTATAAAATGCTGATGAGAGAAATCAAAAAGACCAGAATAAATGAGAAAACATACTGTGTTTATGGATCAGAATACTCAATAGAGTTAAAATGTCTATTGTCTCCAAATTGACCTATAGATTTATTGCAATCCCAGTCAAAATCTCACCTAGATTTATTGTAGATATATATGTAGATAAGGTTATTCTAAAATTGATATGCAAAGGTAAACTAGAATAGCCAAAACAGTTTTGAAAAAAAGCAAAGTTGGAGGACTCACACTACCTGATTTTTAAGACATAATATAAATCTAAAGTAACTAAGACAATGTAGTATTGGTGAAAAAATACATATGTAAAGCTATGGAGAGTCTAGAAATAGACATACAAATACGATGATTGTTTTTTTTTTAAAGGTGCAAGGGCAATTAAATGGAGAAAGGATAGTCTTTCAGCAAATACTGCTGGACCAACAACTGAACATCCTCATACCAAAAAGGAATTTCCTCCTATGAAAAATTAACTTATAATTGCTCATAGGACTAATTATAAAAGGTAAAACTAGAAACCTCTTGGAAGTAAACTCTTAGAGGATGAAGAACACTAACCATAAAAGAAAAAGTTGATAAATTCATCATGAAATTAAAAACATTTTCTGTGAAGGGTACTATTAGAATGTAAGGAAGAGATAAAAAAATAAATTGTAAAGAAGAGATATAGGTGGCAAATAAGCACATGAGAAAGGTGCTCAACATCATTGGTCATTAGAGAAATGCAAATTAAAATCGCAATGACATGCCATTACACATCTTTTAGAATGCCAAAAATAAAATACTAATAATACCAGGTGTTCATGTGGATGTGGAGCAACTGGAATTCTCATGCATTGCTGATGGGATTGCAAAATGATACAGGCACTTTAGAAGACAGTTCTGCAGTTTCTTTAAAAGTTTAATGTACACCTAACATATGACCTAGTATTTGTTCTAGAGAAATAAAGTCCACACAAAAACCTGTGCCCATATGTTTATAGTAGCATTGTTCATAATCACCCAAATCTGGAAAGAACCCAAATGTCTTTGAACAGGTGAATGGATAAACTATTGTTGTATATCCACTCAGTGGAATACTATTCAGCAATAAGGAACAAATATTTTTATACATGCAACAAAATGGATGAATCTAGCAAATGCAGTATGCTAAGTGAAAAAGCCATTCTCATATTTACATATCATATTATTGCATGTATATGACATTGTAGGAATAGAGAACAGATCAGTGGTTGTCAGAGGTAACAGGAAAGGGGAGAAGGATGTGGGAATTGTTCTGTACCTTGTTGTGGAGGTGGAACAAGACACTATGTTGCATATGTAAAAACTTATAGAACTTAAGCCTAAAAAAGTGAATTCTACTGTGCATAAATTTTAAAAAATAATAAAAAAAATACTTTTTTGTATGCATTTGTCAAAGCTTGTTCATACACTTAACATTTGTGGTTTCACTGTGTCTAAATTTTGCCTCACATAAAAATAAAGAATTGGGCCGGCCCGGTGGCGCACTGCTACAGTGCGCCGCTTGGGAGCACGACGGCGCTCCCGCCGAGGGTTCGGATCCCACATACAGACTGGCCGCTCACTGGCTGAGCGAGGTGCGGGTGCAACACCGAGGGTTGCGATCCCATTGCCGGTCCCGGTCTGGTACGGGCACGACACTGAGGGTTGCGATCCGTTGCCGGTCACGAAAAAAGACAAAAAGGAAAAAAAAAATAAAAAAAATAAAAAAATAACCGGGCGCGACACTGAGGGTTGCGATCCATTGCCGGGCAAAGGTAAAGACAAAAAGGAAAAAAAAAATAAAAAAAATAAAAAAATAACCGGGCGCGACACTGAGGGTTGCGATCCATTGCCGGTCATGAAAAAAGACAAAAAGGAAAAAAAATTTTAAAAATTAAAAAAATAAACAATTGTAAACAAACAAAAAAAGTAAGTGTTTGGAGGATGGGAGAGAAATGTGTAGGTTTCCAATTAGAAAAATTGTACCCTAAAATGTGAAAATATAATTTTATTTATTATGGCAAGGGTCCATTTATTTTCCTTTTTAGAAGATTACCATGTTGTCTGTTTTCTTGACAATTTACTGTTGATTCCCTGATTGTTATGTCTTAATAATCATGGATGGTTTCTGGCCACAAGCTAGATAAGAGCTCTTTTGTAATCTGTTTTTCTACCACATCAATTCAGATTCATCCTATCTCGTGTTTGCCTTTTGCTTACAATTCTTTCTCTCATCTGCTGACAAGGAAAAAAAAGTTAGAAAAAAATCTTGAGTGTTATCTATGAATTTGTCACATTTAAGATTTAATCATACATAAATTATTTCTTGACAAGTAGAAGCTGTATTAGTTGTGATAATCTTTGAATCTTATAAACTGGCAGGGGCTTTATCTTAAACATTATAGACCATTTGCAATTCTATGGATTGAGTGGATATATTTTAGCACTTTGCTGTGGGTGACAGTAGATGATGTCAGATTAAATTTAAATTGATCTCCTCTCAGTGTTTATCTCTGGTGCATGTGCAATTACTTCAGCACCAGAGAACCTTTCAGAAGCATTCTGTCAATACAGCTACCTGACAGTCATTTGTATTTGTAAACTGTGCATTTGGCACCTGCTGGTCTCTGTTGCATTGGACCTAGTGGGGAGCCAAAATGGGTGTACAGTGAAGTTATTGGTTGGTACATCTCAGTGGGAGTTATTGAAAGGAAGAAACAGCACTTCCAGGACCACAGGAGAGGATAAAAAGAAAAAGAAACTGGTAATATTAACACAAGCCAGCTATTCTTTGCTACCAAAAAATAATGATTTAAAAAGTCAGTCACTTCTACTCAAGGAATTAAAGTATGTGTGGACCTGGATTTTAATTCTTGTTACAAATGAACACAAGCCAGCTATTCTTTGCTACCAAAAAATAATGATTTAAAAAGTCAGTCACTTCTACCCAAGGAATTAAAGTGTGTGTGGACCTGGATTTTAATTCTTGTTACAAATATGAAAAACAAAGGGGTTTCTATTTGAAAAATATAATGAATTTTTTAAAGTTCCAGGATCTCAGTAGAAGGCAGATAATTCTTATGAGCAAAAAAATAAATTAAAATAAGCAATGGAAAGAAAATGCTTAATTTCTGAGGAAATGGAAATTAAAATGCAGGTATCTTTTACTTATCAAATTAGCAAAACAAAATTTTAATTTAAGAAAAGACAAATGTGCTGACAAGACTTCAGAGAGTAAATAGGTAGACAAATAGCAATAATTGACTGATGTTTTGTAGGTGTAATTTGCCCACACTTTGTCAAAAGTTCTTATTCTTTAACCCAGTAATCCTACTTTATTGGATACAACTTAAGGAAATAATTACAAAGAAAAAAGCCTGATATATAAATCTGCTGAGCTAAGTATAGTCCATTCTGCTACAGTGCATGTCTCTGTGCTGCAGATCTGCTCATACATGATTGGTAATTAAGGGAATAGTGTCCATAGAAAGTGGAGTTGTGCTGGTTCATGGATCATTTTTCTCAGAATGTTTTGAAGCCAACAGAGTAAGCTTTTTCAGTTAAAGAGAATGCCCTAAAGGTATATGAAGACCATTGAGACAAAACAACTGAAAATCTTAAGGAAGAGCCTTTCTTTAGTGTAAATAAAAGTTGGTTTAATGGACTTGCGAAGTGCTTTGCTTTTCATAATTAATCTACCAATGAAGCTGCCCATGTGGTTGAAGTTGTGAAGACATTTCCCCCTGAGGTTATTTAAAAAAACATGAAAAGGCTACACCTTGGTTCAGATTAATTTGGTGAAACTGGTTCTTACTATCAGTAAATGCACCTAAGGACCTGCATCTCGAAAAAGGACTCCAGGTTAAAGCTGTAGAGGTTCACCCGACTGACACTAGGTTCAAATGCTGGTGGAGATTGATTGGTGCAAGTAGTTTTGTTATACTTCTTAGTAGTGCTCTGGTTGCAAAGTTGCAAAGTTTTAAGTGGTTACTCCGTAACACTAAATTTTCCCATGAGCCCTGTTGTTTTTTGTGTGATTTTGTAGAACATAAGGTTTCTTATTTACATATAAAAGGGTACTTGAAAAAGTTAATGGAAAGATTCATATTATCTTTCAATAGTATTTTTCCACAAACTCTTAAAAGCATCCACATATGTAATTAAGGGAAATATATAAATGCCCTGCAATAAAGGATTGTTAAATAAGTTTGGGTTCAGCATACTGACAGACTACAATGCATCTGTTAAAATGGTAAGCATAGAAAATTTTCTATGAAACCAGTTCAAGAATTAGAACACAAAATTGAGTATCTAGATACCATGATTACAACTGTGTAAAATGTTTGCCACATACCTGGCCTGTAATAGTTATGGTAGGATGCTGGGATCATAAGCAAAATTTACAAAAAAATTGTTTTAATATTGTGAAGTTGGTAAAATAAAGGTAAGTGCATTTTAGCAGTTTAAGCTAAATTTTAATTTGACTTTGGTTTTAGAATTCCTGGAAAACTCAAGCAATTTGTATTTGACTTACATTCTGGAAAACTGCATAGAGAATTCCATCATGGACCAGACCCAACCGATATAGCCCCAGGAGAGGTAGGACTCTTGTTTTTCGCTGGGGACTCTTTCTTTTTCAGTTAGCCTCAAAGAGGATCTGAAGAAACTCTTGCATAGACTTGAGTTTCAGCTCCTGGATATCTTTGTAAAGAAATTCTAAATGGAATCTAGAAAATAGACAAATTATGCTGTTTTTTAGTTAATTTTTAAAATTTTAGGCCTTCAGAATAGTTGCAAGAATATTACAGTATAGTTTCTTGATCATATAAACTAAGATGGCCTGAGTATGACCTCTGTGGAATATGGCTAGGGTTAAATACAGTTGGCTTCAAATAGAAGTAGGAAGTAGGAATTAGAAGCAGATAGATCAGTGAAGAAATCAGAGGATTTCATTAATTGTCGCAAGCCTTCCTAGAAAGTAATTGTTATTCTTGCTAAACTATTCTGTGAGCCTTCACGAATAAGTATTCATTATGCTCAAAACTTATGGCTCAATATAGCTTTCTCATTTGAGATTTAGAATGCTTGACAATTATTTGTCAAAATTTTATATTTGCTTTTTCATATATATATATTTTTTTTACTTGAGAATTTTACTATTTCTACTTTGTAACTTCTGTTACAAGTAATTTCTATATTTCTGCTTTACTAAACAGCCCTAAATTTGCATTTTGATGCATTATGATTTATATTGTATCTATTATCATGATACTGAGAAGGGAAGATAATATATGCAAAAACCTTCCTATTTCACATGCCCAGAACTTAAACCCACTGTTTCGCCCAAAGAACCTCCATTTATAAAAGGAAAATAATAACTGAATATTTTTTACTTTGTCAGATTAGGTTCAGAGTCATTAATTCCTTTGGGAATCTGATGACATGCTTTTTTCCTTGAAAAATGAGGTCAGATTTTTCTTTGATAATTAAGCAACTATAGAAAGAGGCAAACTTGTTGGCAATAACCCAAAGGTGATTATTTTCCTCAGAATAGAAGGCCTGCTTAGTATTTTATCAGATTAGGAAAAGATGTAGTTTACCATTATTGTATTATCCTGATCTGTTTCTTTCACATTTCTCCATTAGACAGTGAACTTGTATTTTATTTATGCATTTTTGTGTACTAATACACAGTAGGCACCAAATAAATGTTCGTTTTATAGTAATTTAATTTCAGCTTAATCCAAACATATCTCAGCAAAAAAATAAAATTTATTGGGAAAGAGGAGCATGACAAAGTCATGGTAAGTTTGTAGACATATTGTTTCCTGTTATAATGGGAATGTGCCATTCTGTATAGTATATTATATATACACTGTGTGCCTAGGTTAACTACAGGGGATATTAAAATGATGTCAGGCCTGCTCTTGAGGAGCTCACAGTGTGAAGATAAGGATAGACTAAAAAGATGCCTTTTCTTTAAAATTCTTAGATATCACTCTTACAGTCAGTGTGTATTTTTGTGTACTGTTGGTACACAAGTAAAATACCACAGAAATTAATTTCAGTACTGAAGTGTTTGTTTTCCTTCTTATTTCAACTAAATTTTAATAATTTCTGGCATCCAGGTAATTGATAATGTAAGTTATATCTACAGAGTATGTGCCTTTAATTCTCTTAGCAGTCATTTGTAAGTGGGAAGGATTTGGGCCAATTTAGGATTGTGCTGCCTCAACAGAATATTCTAGGAAATTACTCAGGTATCAAGTATTTTGTTTCCTTTCACCACACCTCAGCAGACATCAGCAGGGTCATAGTTAATGGCTCTGTGGCTGCCCTGCCCTGAAAATCAGAGTAAGGACATTTGAAATGAGGAAAGTAAGATATCAAATTTAACTCTTTGTCTTTGGCACACAGTTGCTGTCTTTTATTGATTAATAAGCAAATAGCTATAGGGCAACTGTCATTCATTTAATACATTAAAATATTGTAACTCCATAAAATATATTGGTATAAAAATGTTTTATTTTTTTCTTTTGTAGCAAGTCCAAGATGTAGCAAGCAGTCCACCTGAGAGCTCCTTCCAGAAATTAGCACCCAGCGAATATAGGTATACTTTATTGAGGGATCGAGATGAGCTTTAAAAACTTGAAAAACAATTTGCAGGCTTTTCAACAGCAGCATCGATTTACGTGGTGAAAATAGTAAACCTATATTTTCATAATTCTATGTGTATTTTTATTTTGAATAAACTGAAAGAAGTTTTGGGTTTTTATTTTTTTTCTCCCCCTGACTCAAAATGCATTGTCATTTAATATAGCCTCTTTTTAAAAATCTGCTGGGGTTAAAAAATAAAAATCAGAGGCCTATCTTTGCTTTAAATCTGTTCTGTAAAGTTTTTATAAATCAAGTGAAAGGTAACATTTCCAGAAACATACCATTAACTTGCACTACTAGGATAGGGAGGACTTAGGGATATTTCCTGTGTAGTATATGCTTTTCTTTTTTTTTTCTTTTCATATGATCAATTGTTAGTATTTTAAGTATCACATTTCCACTACTAGGATAGGGAGGACTTAGGGATATTTCCTGTGTAGTATATGCTTTTCTTTTTTTTTCTTTTCATATGATCAGTTGTTAGTATTTTAAGTATCACATTTCCCAAAGCTAAGGGGATATATATTCTGGATACTTGGGAGGGGAATAAATTAAAATTTTCACACTGTGTACTGTGTTTTACTGATTGGTTGGATATTGCTTATGAAAATTCCATAGTGGTATTTTTTGGATTCTTAATGTATAACTTAAACATATTATGGAGAGTAGGAAACCCAGACAGAACATTTGGTAGGAATTGTCCTTATGAATTAAGGAAAAGAAAACAAAAAGTATTAAATTTCTATGTGTTTGTCAAAAAAAGTGATATATGGATAGAATTTAAAACTTTGAATGAATCATACCTAAAGCTGGGAAAGGGAGATACCAGTGGAGCAGGTTACCAGTATTGAATTAGATGACTTTTAAAGCTCCTTCTTATCATGAGACTTCACTTTCCAGAGAGAAAAACCAGCAGAGAAGTTGTATTTCAATAATTCTAACCTCCTTCTGTCTTGTAGAATCTTGTTATATAGTTGAATAAGTGAAAAACAAAGATAATAAGTACATATGTATTTCATTCAAGAACATATGTATTTCATTTTTTTCCCATTGTAAAATTGTTAGAGGACCGTACCACCTCTAGGTCTCTGATTTTCCAGGCCTTCAGTATATAGTCAGATGGGTCCCTGTGCCAGGCCTCAATACAGCAGGGAATAAAACCAGAGGGAAAAGACCCTCAGTGTCATATCAGGAAGCCCAATGCCAGAGGACAGACAGGTTCAAAATTGGCTTTCCTCTGGGCCTGGGTTGGTGCTATAGGCCAAGGGTCATTTTATACTTGGAGTATAAATCAGTCCCAGTTTGGGGAAAGATTATTTTTAAGCTTAAAAGGCTGACATGTGCCATTAATATGTAGTATGTAATATATGTAACACCTTCCAGTTCTTTTAAAATAAAATGAATATTTATGATGGATATTTAATGATTGTTATTTTTAAAAAAATCAGCCAACAGTTCTTAGTTATGCATGATTTATCCATAGTTTCCATAATTTTATTCAGAATAATAAGTGTTAATAAGGTGATAAAGGGCATGTTTAGTATATTTTACCAGATTGTGACTAGAAAAGTAGAGCAGAGCTTTCTAGAGGTTGGGACTTAGGTCTGTTCTCTCATTGCTTCTAATCAATAATTTGAATGAAGTCAGAGTTGTGATCTTCAGGTCAGAGCATGGACCAAATCTGAGAGGGTCAGTATGAAAATTCACAGACATTCAGCAAGCTAACACCAAACATAGCACATGCAATTAACTGGAATAAATTTGCAGTCCTGTAATTGGGTGTGAAAAAATAATAAACAAACGATATCACTCAAGTATTAGGTTGCAGAGAGAGTAGTTATGAAAAAAGTCTCAAGGACCACATGTTCAGTGTGATCTAAGATGAGAGATTGGCTATTTAAAAAGTGAGTGGATTTGAGGATGCATTATTTAGCATTCATGCATATTGGGACTTAGGCTGTAACCTTGCCACTATCATTGTCTTCTCAAGACTGTGAAGCCACTGAGGACAAGGATCTGAATTTTATGTCACTATATCTAGTGCCTGGCATTTCTGGACACTTAGTAGTCATCATCAAATGTTTTTTGAATGGATGAGAAACAAAGTGACCTTGGTAATTTTTGTATCCCTGTGGGGCTCGGCCACTTAAGACTTGCTGCCCAATTTTATATGAAGTCCTTAACAAGTTCAAGTACTTCATATGTCCATGAAAGTACAGCTAGGATGAAAACAGGTTTTAAAACATAGGTGTTAAGGCTGTTTTGTGTAGAGAAAACTTGGGTCTGAGAGCAGTCTTTAGATATTTGAAAGGCGAGCATTGTCTGGATAACAGGGATTGAACTAGGATTGAAGGAAGTCACAGGGAAGCAGATTTCAGTCTGACATTTATTCAGTGCAACTGTTTTGGCACTGTAGTATGTGATGAAGGGTACAAAGATGAATGAAGCATAATTTCTGCCCTGGAGTTGCTTACAGTCTAGTCAGGTGGATGGATATATGAACAAAGACTGTGTGGGTGTTATAGACATAAAGATAGAAGAAAAAGAGGTTAATGAGACAGAAAGGAGCATTTGGTTACAAAGATTTCATTGAGGGGGCCAGCCTGGTGGCGCACTGGAGAGTGCGCTTGGGAGCGTGGCGGCGCTCCCGCCGAGGGTTCGGATCCCATGTGGAGACCGGTTCCCGCTCACTGGCTGAGCGCAGTGCGGGCGCAACACCGAGGGTTGCGATCCCGTCAGTAAAAAAGACAAAAAGGAAAAAAAAACAAAGATTTCATTGAGGAGGTTATTTTTATGCTGAGCTTTTAAAAGATGAATGAATAGGTGTTCTTCAGGAGGTAGGGATCTGGGTGGATAGAATAATCTGAGCAAATGTAATAAACAGTGTAATGCATTAGAGAAAATATAGTAGGACGAGTGAACTGGGGATTAGCAGGAAATGAAAAAGGGGGTTGGAGAAAGAAATGGGAGCTGGTTGTGCAGAGCCTTGTATGGAAAGCTAAGGGGTTTGTATTGTGTATTGTAGGCAGATCTATCAACAGGTTTTAAGCAGGGAAAAACATTCATGTTTAAGTTTGAGAAAGAATGCTGTGGAAGCATGTCTCACAATTTAGATGTCTTACCCCTCTGACCCATGAATCAGAAAATGTCTACTCAGTTTATCCAGTCTACTCTGGGCCTCAGGCTTCTCAGCTATGAAGAGAGGATATGCAACGCTAGACTGAAGAAGACAGCAGAGTCACATAACCAAAACTAGAATGGGCATCTAAAGCATCTTATAGAGAGCTCTCTGATAAAGTCAGGTCGTCAAAGATCATGTGCAAAAGAAGGAAAAACTGGCATGTAAAAGAGTGGGAGTCATAGGCAGATGACTGCTAAGTTCCCCACTGGCTCTACAAAGTTTATGCTCTCGTATAATTCAGTCAAGTCATGACTTTTAATTGGAAAAACAGAAATATCTTCACTTACAAATGCTGAAAATTTCAATTCATAACTTCCAAGTCCTAGACATGTTTTTTTTTTTTTTTTTTTAAAGATGACCGGTAAGGGGATCTTAACCCTTGACTTGGTGGTGTCAGCACCACACTCACCCAGTGAGCTAACCGGTCATCGCTATATGGGATCCGAACCCGTGGCCTTGGTGTTATCAGCACCATACTCTCCCGAGTGAGCCATGGGCCGGCCCCTAGACATGCTTTCCAGATTTTTTTTTTTAAAGATGACCAGTAAGGGGATCTTAACCCTTGACTTGGTGTTGTCAGCACCAGGCTCTCCCAAGTGAGCTAACCGGCCATCCCTATATAGGGATCCAAACCCGTGGCCTTGGTGTTATCGGCACCATGCTATCCCAAGTGAGCCACAGGCCGGCCTCAGATTTCTTCTGTTGCATCATTCATTCCTGTAAATATACAAAAGTGAGCACTTCAATACATGCCCCAAAAGAGGGCAGAACTCACATGTTATGACCTCATCACTCATCATCTGAGAAATCACTAGTGCATGGTTTCTTTTTCCATTCTCATCACTGTGTTTTCATGCCAAGAAATACTCCAAGAAGCATATATGATCCTTGACCTGAAAGACACTTCTAGTGCGGAGATCATTCCACCAAAAAGGAAAGAATTTTACCCCTATGAAGTTCTAAAACATTGCAGAATTAACCACAAGTGAAAATGGGAGCCACTGAATTTCAGTAGTCAAGAAATATTCATGTAGAAATGAACACTGGATCATGAAGGACTTGGACACTAAAAGGTAAATTTCATGACTTTTGTCAGTGGGCTTTTAATAAATATTTATGGAATGAATAGTAAGACAGGGAGAAAGTGGACATTCAATATTAAGCAAAGGACCTTACAAGCAGAGAGGCAAAAAAGCACAAATCATCTCTTACATGGGGAAAGGAAAGCAAATATTCCAAATATACCAAAAACTCTGGCAAATGGGAGGTTTATTACTAACTTCCCTGGCAACAAAGGCAAAACAAAGAACTCAGAGTTACAAGTCTTATCTGATGCAAAGCAATACATCAATTCATTTAAACAAAGAATTATTAAATGTAAATAGATATAACCTCTCTAGTCTGTATTTCCATCTAACCAGCTTCATCACTCAGCTACATTTAATTCTTTGATCTTCTCTGAGCATTGTTCATTTTATGTTCTGAACCTTTTGTACATGCAATTCCTCTGCCACTTGAAGCCCATAACCCCATCTTCAATCAAGCACATTCTTCTTTAGGGTACTGCTCAAATATCATGTTCCACAAAGCCTTCCCCTTCTTTCCAAGCAGAATTAGTCCATCTATTCTTTGTGCCCATGTGTTACTTTGTTCATTCCACTACAGTACTTACCATGTTTTACTGTGATTTACTTGATTTAGGTATCTGAATTCACTAGCCTGAATGGTTTACAGGGATAGATTCTATAGGCCTAATATGGCCCCAGCACTCAACACACCACAGGCATTCAGTTAAATGTTTGTTGAGTCAATTTATTGCATATTTCCTTATTCATGCACCACTCAGCAACATAATCAATGACAAATGAATTCAATAAGCTTTACAGAATTTGCAGAAATTCTCACTACTAGACCTTTTCTTGTGCTGACCCTTGCTA